CTATGTACAATACCAACACTGCTCACTAGGCACTCGATCCGTTAGCGAGTACACAGAGGAATTCTACCGCTTGAGCGCCCGGAATAACTTGAACGAATCAGAAACTCAACTCGTGGCACGTTACATCGGGGGCCTGAAGGAAGTTATTCAAGACAAACTTGAGCTAAATTCCGTTTGGACACTCTCTCAAGCAGTCAATTATGCCCTCAAAGCTGAAATTCAACTGAACCGCCATCCACGGGGTAACACTGCTCGTCGCTTTGTGGTAGAACCGAGCGGGGAATCCGGTAAAACGAATGCCACTAGCGGGAATAAGCCCGCACCCCCACCCAGCGGGGGCTGGGATCTTAGGTGCGGAGCCTAAGAATTCATTCGCCGGCCGTCTGAAGACCCCTGTTAAAGATGCCAACCCCTATGCCAAACCAGTGACATTCAAATGCTACCGTTTCTTTCAACCAGGACACAAATCCAACGATTGCCCGAATCGACAAAAAGTATAGCTACTGGAAGGCGAGCCGGATGATGATCACTAGGGTGCGGACTTGGTGAATGAATAGGACTTTGAAGACCTACAAGCAGATGAAGGTGAGGCTCTAGCCTGCGTCCTTGAGAAACTCCTCATAGCGCCTCGACAAGATGGCAACTCCCAGCGACACTCTATATTCCGCACCCGCTGCACCATCAACGGCAGCGTCTGTGATTTATTAATTGATAGCGGCTGCACCGAAAACATCATCTCCCGATCCGTTGTGCATAAGCTCCATCTCAAGACGACGCGCAACCCACACCCCTATAAGATTAGCTGGGTGAAAAAGGGGGTGGAGATAGATGTAACCGAAATGTGCAGGGTGACCTTCTCAATCGGCAAGAGCTATGTTTGTAAAGTTCTGTGTGACGTCCTGGATATGGACATTTGCCACTTAATCCTCGGGCATCCGTGGCAATTCGATACGGGAGCTGTCTACGACGGATGCGCCAATACATACAGTTTCGAGTGGAAAGCAACGAAAGATTCGTTTGCTTCCACGACTCGCTGGCGAGGCAGAGAAGGAGTTACCAGGAAAATCCACAATGTTCGTGGTCTCCAGCAGCAACCTCATTATGTCTTGGAAGGAAGATTTAGTAATGCTAGCACTGGTAGCTTCAAACAACACTCCAGTCAATGCGGAAGCAGAAGTCCCAGTTGTCGTTCGTGACATTCTTTACCGTTACAGGGAAGTCTGGCCAGCGGAACTGCCTAATGAATTACCACCATTATGAGGTCTACAACACCAAATAGATTTCCAGCCGGGGGCCAATCTACCAAATCTTCCACATTATAAAATGAGCCCTCGGGAACACGCCGTCCTACAAGAAATTGTTGAGGAATTGCTTCAAAAGCAGCTGATTCAACCCAGCCTTAGCCCTTGTGCTGTGCCGGCATTTCTTGTACCGAAGAAGGATCGTAGTTGGCGTATGTGTGTTGATAGTAGAGCTATTAACAAGATAATCGTAAAATACCGCTTTCCGGTGCCCCTCCTTGAAGACATGCTGGATAAGCTCGCTGGTGCCATTATCTTTTCAAAAATGGACCTCCGAAGTGGGTACCATCAGATACGCATACGGCCCGGGGATGAGTGGAAGACAGACTTCAAGACGAGGGATGGGCCTTTCGAATGGCGCGTAATGTCGTTTGGGCTCTGCAATGCCCCGGCGACCTTCATGCGACTCATGAACGAAGTTCTTAAATCGATTATAGGGAAGTAATGTGTTGTCTATTTTGACGACATTCTCATCTATAGAAACTCGCTCGAAGATCACCGCACTCATCTCTCTAATATTCTTGCTATTTTGAAAGAGCACAAGCTCTATATTAACTTTCCTAAGTGTGAGTTTGCCACAGGAACAGTGCATTTTCTTAGCTTTATCATCTCCAAGCAAGGGGTGCGTATGGACCCTCAAAAGGTCCAGGCTATCACAGAAGAGCCAATCCCACGATCAGTGACAGAAGTTCGAAGTTTCATCGGATTGGCCAACTTCTACCGCCGGCTCATCAAGGGATTTAGCATTATCATTGCACCGATCACCAACTGCCTCAAAGAGAAGTCTTTCCACTGGACTTCAGAGCAAGACCGCAGCTTCAACACGTTGAAGGCAGCATTAACGACTGCGCCAGTGCTCGCCGTCCCTGATTTCTCCAAACCTTTTCATGTGATTAACGTCCTATTTTTAATTCCAATTAAATTAAAAATAGAAACTTTCCTAAAATAGTTGAGTGATTTTAGGAGAGATTTTGAAATTCAAAATTCAAAGACTAAATTTTAAAATTATTTCTGAATCAGCTTACACCAAATTGGGAAACTATATGAAGGGATTTGGGCTGGATTGTGGCCGGCGGTTAGATCCTGTAGCCGGCGGCTGGATCAGTTGGGGAGCTAGGTCATGGGATGATGTGGGGAGTAGGGGTTCAGGTAAAGGTGTGGGAAGGGGAATTGGGACAGATTTTGGGAGGTAGAAGGCAAAGCTCGCGAGGGTGAAGCTTAATGGCTAGGATGGGCGGGAGAAACAAAGTAGGGAACAAGATAACGAACCACGAACCCGGCCGTCTCCAAGGTTGGTGGGTACTGCGCAAATATCCCTCTCCTAGGGATCTCTCTAATGTTCTCTCCAAGAACTCCCAAAAGCTCTCGCTCTAAACATAAGAGTAGAAGAAAATTTCTTAATAATCATTCATTATTCTTGAAAATAAAACAAAGGGGCTTTAAATAGCCTCATACAAAAGACTCTAACTGACATGACACAATTGCCCTTAGGCTTACACATGACCACTCCCATATAAAAGGGTACAAAGGGAAAATAAATAAACATACATAAGCAAATAATAAAATGCATGAAAATAAAATACATCGATTCAAAAATATAACGAATCGATTGTGGCCGTAGATCGGCGGCCACGTCGTTGGTAAACTTTTCATGATGATCTGATATTCTGATGTCCCCATCACATGAACTTGTCATTATAGCTGCCACCTTAGCTTATGGAATGTTTCTATTGAGTTGACAAAATATGGTTTTCCTTGTTGGTAGGAAATAAATTTTTTTGAAGGTGGCGTGATGTTTGGAATTGTTATTGAAGAAGGTATCTTGGTTTGTATAATATTGCAATAGACCAATGCTCTACCTAACTTCTGTTTGGAATCTGTTTAAAAATATTTAGTCATCGTTTCTTCTGAACAAAGTTAAGAATAGATAGTTAAATTTTTTATTCAAGTGCATTTTAATTTCTATCATTTAATGCACGTGCAATAAATCTAGGCAAGCAAGTAATTTCTTGTCATTTTGCTATGTGATTTTACTTTTTGTTAAGCAGTCTATTTGATTTTTTATTTTAAGCATGATGGATATTAGATATAAAAAAATAAAAATAAAAACGTGTGATTACTATTATGACTATAATGATGATTATAATCATAATAATAAAAATCTTAATTTGCATTATTCATATATTCAGCGAGAGATAATATATATCTTAAAAATGAACCAATAATTATGGGTGATCAACTGTTATTTTGTGAGTGAATTATAATAAAGTTGCTCTCCTTTTTATCCTTTTAATTTAGTATATAAATATCATGCTTAATGTTATATTTATAATGAATTTTGATATTTTCTTCTAAATTTGAATGTATTATTTTTATGATATTAGTTCTACAGAAAAAAAAATATATTTTAGTATTGAATTATAAAATTATATTAATATAGTTTCTATATGTTAATTTTAAGACAAACATATAACTTTTCAGTAGTAGAATTAATAATTAGAATTGTTTAAAGGGATAAAATTAAAACTTTATCTTTTAAACAAAAATATAATTAAAATTTTCATGAGATAAATTTTAATTTTTAAAATTTTATTTACGTGCATTTAATGTCACTATCTATCAATTCCGCAAGCACAAATTTCACTATGCTAATATTATCATTTTCTGACTAAATGTAAATGTTATAAATTGTAATGTTAATGTTTTTTTATAGTTTCATAAAAAGCTAACAAAAAAGTCCACTATTTTATGAATAAAAAGTTTTGCTCCTTAAAATCATAATAAGTTTTATTTTTCTATTAAATTGGATACTGAAAATATTAAAAAAAAAGTTCAACTTGAACATTTTCCCATTTTGCATGATTAAGCAATAACAAACTTAAAAATTACATAATACTCATGAATCATTTTCTTTTTGCATGATTTATCCATAGATTTCTAAAAAACACGTAATATAGGCATCACCTAAAATTATCTCAATTTATAATTTTACATGGTGCACTTATTTTTTTTCCCTTCTTCTACCTTCTGTTTATGAAAGGAAAAAGAAAATTCAAAATGTCTATTAAATAAAAACACATTAAAACTTACATTAAACGGCGAACTCCAGTGGCGAAGTGAAGGGCAACGGGTTCGGGATTACGGGTTCGGCCGGTTGTTTTAAACAAGACAAAATTGCTCGTTTGATGGGCAATCTTAGTCTTCTAAATAAATCGCTCGTTTAAACGGGCGATTTTGTCTTAACTCTTCGTTGCTTGTTAAACATGCGATTGTGCCTATTTTTAATTTTTTTTTTAAAATAATAGTTAATGTCCTAATTACATTTCTAATCATACTTAGTCATAGAAATTGCCCTTTTTCCTTCTTTTTTTCAGGTTAGGGGAAAGAAAAAGAGCTAGTTAAATAGTTGAACATTTGTTATCTAATCTGTCTGAATCTATATAGGCATTCTGACTAATTTAATTTATTAATTTTTTTTTAAATTTGTAGTCATATATTGTAGTATAAATTTAGCATATATATTTTAACGAAATAAAAGAAAATTTAGTTATGAATTGTTTTATTACCTTAAGAAAGATGACAATCATGTAAACTCTTCAAAGTCATATCAAGTACATAAAAAAGTAGAATAATTTATCATAAAAATTAATTTAGATATACAATAATATATGAATAAAAATTTATATGTACAAATTTATATATACAAATTTATAACTCAATATCTTTTAGTTGATAATTCAACCGCTCAACCAACAGATCAAGATGAGCTACATAAAAATAATTCATATATTACATACATTTTAAAACAGCGCATTTGATTTGATTTCAAATTACAAGGTCATGAAGCACTTCCAAGTGTCAGTCTGACACCTTCTTTAAATGAAATAGGATTGATCCCAAGCGCCTGAATCAGCCTGCTGATGTCCATAGATATATCTGCTGGGGACACAACTCCACGATTGATCTGAAGAACATACTGTAAGTTTTGAGAAGTTCTGAAGATACAGAATAAGCATGAAAACAGTTTATTTTGATGGAAGAAAATGGCAGTGTTCACTAACATCCACACATCAATATTTAAAATTAGGACGACAAACTTTATTTAGGCTTGGTTTGAGAAAACTTTCTTGCTACTTTATAGTACAAATGATTTTAGTTCAAAAATAAAAAATGGTATTAAAAAGTTTACAGCAATAACAGTGCAGGTTTCACAAATTATGTAGGAAAATCTGAGAGAAAAACACTCGAAATTCAATAAGAGATGGAAAGAAACAACCCGATGCAATGAATCTTCGATTCGAGGGGAAGATTTCACTCTCCAAATCTATAGTCGATGCTTAGTGCCCAAAACCAAACTTCAGATCTCAAATTTAGATTACAAAATTCAAGATAACCCTAACCCTAACAAGAAGAAAGTAAATAAAGCAAAAGGACAATTACTAATTCTCTAAACAACTCTTAATTTCAAATTTTCCCTCGAACCCTTCACTAATTAGTCCAATCACACCAGCCACCCCCCCCTCTCTCTCGCTTTCCCTAGTTCCGCTCCACCCTTGGGCCATCTTTTGTATACCAAACCCATCCTGGATGAACCGGTTCAGCCAGCCCTCTTTGGACCGGCCTAACAAGCTGCTTTAGAAAGAAGGAAGAACATTGTCCCAAACGAAGCCTTAATCAAATATTCAAAGTTGTCCAAATAATTCACGGAAGTTGAACCATGCAAAATAATAAAATGAAACTCAATTTGTTAAAATTATTTATTTACTCAATGTTTATGATAGTACAAACTTGTAAATCTCCATCAAATTAGCTCGTCTTAAGATAAATCTGACTATGACAAATTGAGAATTTGGTATTCATAGGAGATAAATTGTGGGTTTCTTGCAAAATAACAAGAGTCGTCATATTCATAAATTGATATGTCACACACTAACACCAATGCAATAGATATCAAAAGAATTTATCATCAACATTAAAATTGAGTTCACCATGTATAATAGCTTCATGAAAAAAGCTATATATTAGTATCATATAGAGGGCTATATGTAGATTCACAAAGAAAATGGAAAGAATAATTCAAGAAATTGACAGTTCAAATTAAATACTTTGAAAATTGGATTAATGCCAGAATTTTCTAAAATTTTCAGTTTGAGGCGCATTTAGTTTCAATGCATTGCAAGTTAATAAATGATAATGCCTTTCTCACATATAATTTCACTTATAATTGTATAATTAATAATCAAATTTCTATGAATACTCTCATGTAAGTAGAACAAATCATGCAAATGAAATGGAGCAAGTAATATAAATGCTAAGAGACAAACGTGAGCAAGTAATTCTCGGAGGATAAAATTTAGTTTCTACCGACTGCTAGAAGAGAAATCATGCAATAATAATATGTATAACAACCTCTTTAAGTAAAATTAATTCAAATTGCTTAAAAATTAGTTATGATCAATTATGAATCTTTAGGATTAAAATTTTCATAAAATTGTATATTAATAAAAATTCCACAAGGATTTAAGAAAAAATTTGATGGTGACAAAATGTGTAGGTTAAGAAAGACTATATGGACTAAAACAATCACCTAAAGCTTGATTTGGTTTGGAAGATTCTCAAAAGTCATTATTCTTAATGGTTATCGACAGATTCAAGGGGACCATATATTATTCTTCAAGCACTTAGACTCAAGGTAAGTCACAATATTATTAGTTTATGTGAATGAGATCATATTGATTGGAAATGATGAAAAGGAGAAAGTGATTACTGAGAAAATATCTTATCAAAGAATTTGATATTAAAGAACTTGTGGATTAAAATATTTCCTTGGAATTGAAGTGACCCACTCCACCAGAGGAATTTCTATTTCACAACATAAATACATCAATGATCTTTCTAAAGAAGCAGATAAACTAGCTTTAAAATGACACCAACACTAACAAAACCATATATCAAATTAGGGAAGCTAAAGAGGATCCAGATGTAGATAGGGGAGATTACCTAAGACTTATGGGTAAATTGATCTACCTTTCCCACACCATACCATATATAATATTTATTGTAAACATGGTTAGCCAATTCATGCACAATTCAAAACAAACTCATATGTAAGTTGTGGACAGAATACTACACTACCTTAAGGAGAATCTAGAGAAAGTGATTCTCTTTAGAGGAAACTGTGGAATAACCCCAAAAATATATATTGATGCAGATTACGCAGGATCACCAGTAGTTAGGCGATCTACCTCAAGATATTGCTTATTCCGTGGGGGAATCTTAGTTACATAATAAGAAAGAAATAGAATGTGGTGACAAGATCTAGTGAAGAAGCATAATACATAGTCATGGCCTTCAGAATATGTTAGCTATGATGGATCAAGATGATTCTAGAAGACCTATGGATCAAGTGGGAATGACCCATGAAGCTACAATGTGACAACAAATTAACAATCAGTATAGCTCACAATCCAGCTCAGCGTGATAGGACCAAGCATATAGAATTGGATAAACTTTTTTATAAAGGAAAAATTAGACAATGGTCATCAAAAGATTAGCTTGCAGATATTCTTACCAAGAGACTTGATAACTCTGCCTTTTTGGGACTAATTACCAAGGTAGGAATGGCCAATCTGTATTCCCCAGCTTGAGGGGGAGTGTTAAATCTCAGTCGTCCTTTAACATATTGATCCCATGACTAGGATGGGGATCCATGGAAGGCTTACCTAGATCATGAGATCTCTTTCCTAGATCACATAGATCTCTTTCCATAGTTAGGTAGCTAATTTAGGAAGGATTATATTAGAGAAATAATGGAGGATTATGTAATTTATTTATTTATTTATTATATATTATGTATAGAACTATAAATAGAGATATATTTGTGCAATAAAGTTAAGTCTTTTCTTCTCCAAATCTCTTCATTCAATATTTGTTAATGGTGAGGTTTGGTACATAAAATCAGGTTACCAAATCCATATCTCATTGCGACAACATTTCCCGACAAGACCTAACAGTTTCATGCGTTAGATTAGGTTACATTTGAGTTTCATCGACTCAACTTCATAATGAAATGTTTAACCCATCTAATACAATAATCATTACTTTGATCAAATTTTACACAAAAAACATGAAGGGAATAATACCCCAAGTCTGCATACATCATTGACATTGAGACAGGTTGACTCTTCAAAAGGAAGCTTCATGCACTAAATAGGTATAGTAATGTTTTCCTCATTCAAAATTTTAATATCCAGACAACATATAAAACATAAGAAAAATCACATGTACGTGGTACATGATTTTTTTGACATATATGTCGACCTCGTGTTGAATTTTTAAGCGGCAAACATTAATCAAATATGAGGAGTCCCACATGTGTTTGAGAGAGATTTAATACTTACAGATGCTGCAGATACCAATTTGATCAATGAGAGATTATAGCCTCGATAGTCAGCAACCGCCACAGCCATTTGTGCCCTGGACAATCTATCAGGTCCGCCAACATTCAGAATTAATTTTATTTGATTTCCATCTGATAGAAGAATATGAATCACACATAATGAAAGCCGGAAAACATAAAATAATCACAAAAAACAGTTAGTTTTATTCTAAAGAACCTGTACTGACGCTACAGGTTATTCAACTTGCCAGTCATTAAACATAGTTTATAAGCTCATGAATAGTTTTGAACATTAATCCATGAGAACCTATAGATACTAAGCATTCATTTTTTAGAAAAAACGATTATCGAACATACCCTACTACAGTAACCAATTTCCCATTCGACGCAGGGATATGCCAACCATAAAAACAGCAATGCACCACATGCAAAAGACAGAATGACTACTTTACATGTAAAGAAATGTTTAATTGATGTGAAACAACAAGCGGTGAAACATGAATTGCACTTGAGAGATTAGTGAAAGTTTTAACTTTGCAACATTAACAATAAAATTTAGCTTACTCAATTAGGATTCAAGAAAAATTCGTGATAGATTAAGCGGTAGGCATTGACTACACTTGAGAGTTACAAAAGTCTTGCAAAAATATAACCAAAAGATAACTAAATAATGCAAATAACTTTCACTAAAGCCACACGCTTAAAATTTAAATCATTCACCTTGAAGTCCTTCCCTCGTTTTGAAAGTGGTGGCTAGCGGAGGAGGATCGTAAGTAGACTTAGTGAGGCCACTAGTAGACAGGTGATCCCGAGAGGACTCGTCGCCGGGGAAGAAGCCGGATTTGGAGGAGTGGGTCGGCGGCCGCCAATGATCCCCTCGGAGTCTGGACGTTGTTTGTCGATGACGTGTATGAGAGTCGGGAGGATCCGGTCCAAGTAGGCTCCAACGGTGTCGTCGTCGGAATCAAATCCCGCGTCAAACAATGGCGATTGTATGACGTCAAGATTGTCATGGGCGTCGAACACAAGCCCCCATTCAAACTCCGGATCCGCCATACATCTCTTTTGCTTGTAGATGAGAGGGCAAGGGGAGAGAACCCAAGAGAAGAGGGCTCGGGTGGGGGGAAAACAGAGGGGGTTGGGTTAGGCTATGGTGGAGAGAAAACAAATCTGAATTTTATTTCAGATTCTAAATATGAGCTGCAATTTTAATTTCAATTTCAGATTTGAATTTTGAAATTAGAGCAAGAGAGGGAGGGGAATTAAGAGGGGCATTTAAGTGGTGATTAAATGGGGATTAGAGAGAGAAAGGAGGGAGCAATCGGATTAATTGCCTGGCTTCTCATGAGGCATTCACGGAATTAGTAAATCTGATACTTGATTATCAGGTTTACTATTACAAGAAGATTCCCTAAATAGCTTGCTGCTAATCCCGTTGGAAAACTTCTGTGAATTAAACAGGCCAAATTTCCTACTATGAGGAGATGTAGAATAGGAAAGAAATTAAGCCTTGGCATGGAATTTCAAATTCTGAAAACAGAGAGCGGGTTGGGGCTGCTGGCTGGCCGGCGGGAATCTGGCTGGTGGCTGGCCGGATGCTGGCCGGATGCTGGCCGGCGGCTGGCCGACGGCGGCTGCGTTGGCCGGCGGCTGTTGGCTGACGGGTTGGGCTGGATGATGGCTGCTGGCCGGCGGGTTGGGGCTGCAAGCCGGCGGCCTGGGCAGTCCAGGAAGAAGCCAACTGTTAGCAAGGGAGGGGAGATTGTGGGGAGAATTTTAGGGATCCAAAGATTGAAATTCCAACTTCCCACAAGAGGCTCCAATCCAAATCCCCACAACGACGATGAGACCAAGAGAAATGAAAGAGAATAGTAGAACAAGAAAGAACCTAGAACTCACAAAGAGATCTAGCTTCTCCTACGAACTCACTAAGAGATTGAGGAGGTTTGCACTCACAAAGAGAACAAGAAATGTAATTTTTCATTCATTCAAAAACTACTATTATATAAGAAAAGGGCCATATATATAGGTCTCAAAATGACAAAGAAAACAAAAGATTAAAATGCCCCATGGGCTATAATAGCAACCAAATACCCATAAGGGCAAAAGCGGAAAAAAATTGAAAATAAAATAAACTACTACATAAAATGACTCAAAATAAAACTCATGATCGCGGTCGTTGATCTCCGGCGTCTCCTGATGGTACATGTGTCGAAATCGCTGACGATGTCCTCATCATTCTCCCCAGGTGGAAGAAAACTCGACCCCGTCGAGTAAGCATCTATAGAGCTCTTGTACCACTCTAGTAAGTCGGGGTCCACTCGCTGTAGCTCGTCACGATCAACCCATGTGTTATTCGTTTCTGGTTTCCCTGCTCATTGAACTAGATGCCTTTGTTGACCATCATCTCTAGTGAAAATTTGAGTTCATCACTAAGTATTGTCTCAATCTTCTCTGTATTGGATAAATTAGGCAATTTTGGGGGTGGCGTTAGGCTGGGGATCTCACCAGGTGGGTTCACACAAGGCTCACTATTTTGTGGAATAGGAGGGTTACACTCTGGACCTTCGAATGTTACAAGATCTTTGATGTTAACATAGGATTAATGTTAAAACCTTCAGGAAGGTCTGACACATAAGCATTACTATTTATTTTTTTGCTGTTATTTGAACGGTCTAATGCTTCTAGCATATAACTTTATAACGGTCCCTTGTGGGAACCACTCCGGACGAATCCGAACCAATACAAAAATCTCTAATATCATATTCTTTGAACCATCTCTTGAGATCGGCAGTAAGTTTATAACTCGCATTGCTTTGGTTATTCTTTTTATTAATATCCTTACGTAGTTCTTGAAGATGAGATGCCAAAGTGGATGCAAGAGACTCGGAGTGTAGGATGAATGACAAGAATCGTGAGCTCACACACAGGTTACAACATAGACAATTTGGAGGACCATAGACTATAAAGCACACATACACAACATACTAACTTACACGAATACATAGTTAGAAAAGGTGGACGAGCCACGAAAAGAGGGGGTCTAAAGTGTTCGGTTTAAGGGAACTGGTGTAGGGGGAGCAATGAAGACATTCTTAACTACCAGGGCACTTCTATAGGAAGTTTCAGTTAAGGTCGCAGGTAGTCTCCTAGGGTCAACGGTATCATCTAGTAAATTCATCACCCTAGGAGAGAGATGGTTCTTGACAGGGAAGGACAAGCACATAGCGGGCAAAACAAATGAATCATGAACGAGATAAGAAGATGGGTCCTGACTCACAGTTATGATGGGATAACCCAAAGAGTCACCATCAGGTATGAGACTCAAAAAATTGGGTATGGTATCCCTAACAGAAGTGGGCACAACAGTTAAAGTTGTGTCAGGAAAGTATGAGCTAAGACTCTCTCTAACATTAAAGTCGGCACGAGGAGTGGTGAGATAAGCCCAATCACGAAAGTCACACTCTTTAAAATGTAAATCTAGATGAGCGACTCCTAAAATAAACTCCAATAAAATAAGATGAGACCCATTATTCAAGTTAGGCTCAGAAACTTTCAGAATCAAATCACTGTCTTTCGAACTCATCTTTCTATCATCAATAGAATCAGATTTGGGTATAACCTTAAGAATGACAGACTCGGTTTTAGTTAAATTGGGACTCAAATCAAGTAGTAAATTCAATTTAACCACTTCCTACTCGAGATTATTACCATCAAGATTATCTAAAGTCTACTCAGTAGGGGTTACAACTAAGTCAGGATCCTCCAAATTTAAATTCAATGTGTTCGAAGTTAGATTGGCTTCTTTCAAGATCACATTACTATCATCCAGGCATACTTTATCCAAAGAGTTATCCTCGAGGAGACTAGGATCGGGGTGGGCTAAGGTGTCGATGTTTAAAGGTTCTAGTTTTCCTAGCTCAGGATTTAAGTCATGCTGGTAGTCTGATTCAATCACTTATGTTCCATCCTCAAAGAATTCTTCGTTATTAGGGATATCACTAGCATCCACGAAATGGATGCACTCAGTCACAAGTTCAGGGAACCTTTTCTTCTTAATGTATTCCTTTATTATAATCATACTTGCAGGGTCAAGAAATGGGGAGTCTAAAGGTTGAATGGGATGGCTAGAAGTGGGTCCAAGTGGGGAGTCATAAGAGATTTGTCCAACAGAAGACCCAGTAGAGGGTCGGCTATCTAGGTTAACTGAAGACCTAAAGGGTGGGGCAGCAACCCGGATGTTACTAATGGGTGGGTGGTCTTGACCACAGTAAGGTCCACGGGTTGTCCCAACAAAAGAGGTAGGGTGATGCTCTAGATGACGGTCACTATTAAAGGGTTGGTATTTCAAATTAAGTTCTCGTCTCATGTCTTTCCAAGTAAGGTACTCATCGCGAGACTCTTTATGACTTCTAATTTTATCCAATATTGAAGAGCTCGACCTTTAAGGTGAGACTTAGCGATGCTAACCTGGTGGGACTCAGGGACATGACATGATTTAAAATAGTTCTCTAGTTGTCTAACCCATTCCCTAAAGTAGTGAGGGTCCGAAGAACCATCAAAGGTGGGTAAACGGTTAGGTGACTCTAAGTGAGGTCGTTGAGGATTAGACTCAGGTCTAGGTTGATAAGAAGAGTGGGGCACATAATTTGAGTGGGGATAGTCAACAGGTTTCTCCGTCATAATTCTAGTCATAGTTCCCACTAGGTTAACAAGGTCATCTAAACTCTTTTGGAGTCTTATCGGGTCCATGGGTAAGTGTCAAGTGAAACCTAATGAAGATTGGGTGCAAGGTACCACTCTCTTCAAAGAGAAAACATCATCTCGACTTGCTATAAGGTGCAGGAAAAATACTGGACAGCAAGCTTCAAGAAGGGTTTAGGTCACTAGGTGTTTAAGGAGGATGCTAAGGCTTGGGTAGCACCCTAAACCAAGGTTATACTCACTTAAGTTAAATGCTACCAAACACTGCAGAATTTTGTGTAGACAGCAAACTACAACAGTTGGGAGAACAGGACAGCAAACTAAAGTGATGGACGACGTTATCTAAGCAATTTGGGTGGACGGTAGAGTGTGGACAGCAAGTGAATGCTTCCTAAATCTAGCCCAAATGGTGTTACTAATTGGCGCAGGAATTAAGTGGACAACAATTTCAGCAAAGGGTTAAGTAACCTAACTGTTTTGGTAAGGTCTTACGGTGAAGGCAGCACCTAAATAGTGACGAAAAGTTCTCTAAACAATGTCTAACAGTTGATGGAATGGTGCGGAAAACAGCTACAAACAAATGTTGAGTTGCCCTAAGCAATTAGTAACAATGTAAGTCCAATGGCTGCACTCACACTCTAGCTAGGATGACTTAAATGCCAATGTATGGGTGCAGGAAATGCAATTACAGCAGTAAAAACATTGAAAAATTCTAACAATGCAATGATACGCATGCAAGTTTTAAGCTACAATGAAAAGGCTAGACCCTAGGATGTTTTTCTACACATGTCGTGCATGCCTACCATGCTCTGATACCAAGATGATGTGAAACCAAGTGTATGGAACAAGAACTGCTTTGGGATTTTAATATAAGATTGTTAAAACTTTGCTAGTTATAGAATTAATGCTTACCCAGATTAAGTTTTCAGAATTATCAAGTCGAAATTAAGTATGGCATGTGGTTACAACTAGATTAACGGGACAATATCAAATTGACAATATAGAATTAGATAGTAATGCTATGGAGAGAAACAATAATCTACAATTAACAAATAGAACTTTTCACCTTGGGTCTCTCACTCACTCTCTTGTTGGTGGCACTTTTAATGGAGGAAGATTGAGAGCAACCGAGTGATGCCACTAGGAGACAAATGGCGCACAAAGTGTAGTCCGTTGGAGTGGTAGCCGGTGGCGGGTAGTCCATGGGATGACTAGTGAGCATCCAACTTCTTATCCTTCTTCCTTGATCATAAAAAATGAAGCCGTGGTCGATGTCGGGGTCAATGGGGAAGCCGGCGGTAAGGGAGGAGGCCAGGAGATGGCGGGCTGGGGTTCACGGCCTGGCTGTCTGCCATGGAGTTGGGGAGAGGTGGAGGGGGTGGCTGCACGGGTAGGTCCTGGGTCGGCGGCCAAAGGCTTTGGGAGCAGGCTGGCCGGTGGGAGGAGGCAGCCTAGGTGGTCGGCGGCTTGAGCAGCTCAAGGCTAGGCGGTGGCAAATGCAAGGGGAGGAAGAGAGGGAAAATTCCAGGGATTCAAGTGACCACGAAATTACTAACCTCAATTATATTCGCTTTGAATTTCCACAAGATTAGCTAGTACGAAAACTAGAACTCACAAAGAGATCTAGCTTTCTCTGGCGAACTCACGAAGAGATCTTGGAGGGAGGAACTCACAAAGAGAACAAGTAGTAAATTTTATTTCATCCAAAAACTACTATTACATAAGAAAGGGCCATATATATAGGCCTCAAAATGACAAAGAAAACAAAAGACTAAAATGCCCCTTGGGCTACAATAGCAACCAAATACCCATAAGGGCAAAAGCGGAAAAAACTGAAAATAAAATAAACTGCTACATAAAATGACTCAAAATAAAACTCATGATCGTGGCCGT